TGCAACAGGTGCATGCGGTTAGGCCTCCTCCGGATGCTCGTATTCTTATGTTTATCATGCTGTCAACTGTTATTACGTACAACAAGGTTTTAAAAGGTGATGAACAATGATATACCGTCATAATGATTGTTTCATTCGCTTGAACTCTGTAACGGCAGTTTCTTCTTCGCTAGCGCACATTTTTTTTTTCCTGCTTGGTATAAAAGGATGAAGTTGACTCGGTGAGGAAGTTTGGCGAAGCAGTCAATAACTTCCGACATGCTGTTGTCGGCACCTCTGCGGGCATACAGAAGTGCCAGGCCAACCATGGAGCTTAAGTATGCATTTCTTAAGAAACCTCAGGCTTGAAAACGCTCTCTCTGCGCTGGCAGGGGTCACTGGAACCGTAGCAGCTTGTAGACATTCGGATAGAACCTGCTGCCGCAATGAGAGAGGGCATCGATTGCTGTGCTTGGCTATGGCGCTGCTTTGTTCGGCCACTTTGTCCACCATAGTCGTAGAAGCCCCGTTTCGACGTCATGCGCAAAAAAAAAAAAAGATTTTCTGCTCCTTCCTTTCGATAATTTTGCGGTGGTGTCATTGCGGATGGTACAATTACTGAAAAGTAAATTAGTAGTGCCCTGTTTTTGGAACCGTTCGTTTAAAAGGTTGTGGTCCGGAATGGACAGGGATCTGCAAAAACATTCTTCTGCGCTCTAGAATGAGTTGGTCCCACGATCTTGCTTCCGTACGACGGCTTTGAGCGTTCAGTTTTTCTGCCAATTAAAATAAAGTGTGGGATTAGACTAGTTTGCATTCCTTTATTAAGCTGCTCCGCGCAAAAAAAAAAAAAACCAGGCAAGGAACACAAGATACGAGGACCAGCACTTGGGCAAAGATTTTGAAACGAGCATTCGCATTCTTGCGGTCATTTTGCATTGTCTGCTGCACCGCTCATACGTCGTCAATGGCCGCGCTAATGTTCAGGCTTCTCGTCTGCAGCTTCTTTGACAATGGTCAATCAGTTGTACACATGATCCGCCACATACAGGCTTACAAGGAAGGCCGGTGACAAGAGTGCCCACATTAGAATGTTTGCCTGCGCTGGACATTTTCCATTTCCGTTGAATTTGATCTCGTCTAGTGCGGCGATCAACGGTTCAAAAAGGCACACAAAAGAAAGCACTCAGCGGCATTGTGCTTCTAGACCCATCGCGTAATTCCAAAAGGCGCTGCCTTTTGAGTGAGCGACTAGAAGTATAGAAAACGTGTAAGCGACGAGATTTGCTGGAAAAGACAGGCGTTGCTTATAGAGTGCCAAAACAGTTTCTGATATCTGTGATGGTGCATGGCGCACACAGAACTATTAAGGTAGTGACTGGCGAAGTGCGTGTAGAGTGCAGCTGGATATTTCTAACGAACAGCAGCTTAAACACCATTCGTTCTGCCAGTCATCGAGATTGCACCATCGTAGCCTTGACCACGAAGATGTCTAGGAGGAACCTTATGATTGTGCCAGCAAGGTACCTTGCACAGACAATAGGCTGCTCAATACCAGCAACATTCGCTGTTTCATCAGCGAGTACGCAAAAGCGGCCTGCAGCGTTTACTTTTGCGACTTGGCTTTCTTTGATGATTGCCGCAGAGATTTCAATAATCTGGTTTTTGCACATCTGGACTTAAATACGAGGCACTATTTAAGCAACTTTCCAAGTATGTTTTTTTTAGTTCTATGTCGCCGCAATCCGCACGCATGCGAAACAACCCTCTGAAATCGCCTGTATTTGTATTGGAGGATGTGCTTAGATCCACGTGACCACTGTCTTTATGCCCATGAAGACACAAATCTTGCCTCCCGCAAAAGACAACTGTCTCAATAATACAGACTGCAACTTTCTTTGGTTTTCTCCAATTATTTTGCCTGCCATGGTCTTGTTGACCAATAACACATGACACACGTCTTGAGATTATTTAGGGAATTTATAGGCTATTAGCTGGGAGACACTGTGATATCTAGTAGCTTCGTGTATATTGAAGACTTCGAGGACGTGCTTCCCTTGGAGGTTTGAACCGAAGGAAAAGTGCGATTCAGCCTAGTTAGTTGGAACATATACATGTTGAAATGTTTGCGCCGGCACACGCCGGCACAGAAGAGAACTAACTGGTGCAATCAAACAACTGGTTTATTTTTCGAAAACATTCCCTTAATACCCATGAGACCTGCGTCATCTGGTCTCCTAAAAACAATTATT